TACATAACGACGTCGCTTCTGCCTAACATGCTGGACTACGCCAACCACCTATGACATATCCATCATGGACTAGATGGGTATATGCTAAGAGGACTGTAAGCAGATATGGAGAAGAATCAGCACTTGCAAGCACTTGACATTATCGGCCTCTACTTTGACAAGAGGGGACCATGACCTCCTTGCCCCTCCCCCGTTCCTACAGCCGTGCCACATAAACTCTACGACTACGTCTGGCGTGCCTTGGAGAAAACTTCCGCGTGAAATTGTGAATTTCCCAAAATGCCTTGCCCCTCCCCCGTTCCTATAGCCATGTCACATAAGCTCTGCAACTACATCTGGCGTGCCTTGGAGAGAACCTCCACGTGAAATTTTGAATTTGGCAAAATGCCGTCTCTGTCTCTGTCTCTGTCTCTCTCTCTCTCTCTGTCTCTCTCTCTCTCTCTCTCTCCTCTCCTCTCTCTCTCTCTCTCTCTCTCCTCTCTCTCTCTTCCTCTCTCTCTCTCTCTCCTTCTCTCTCTCTCCTCTCTCTCTCTCCTCTCTCTCTCTCTCTCTCCTCTCTCTCTTCTCATCTCTCTCTCTCTCTCTCTCTCTCTCTCTCTCTCTCTCTCTCTCTCTCTCTCCTCTCTCTCTCTCTCTCTCTCTTCTCCTCCTCTCTCTCCTCCTCTCCTCTCTCTCTCTCTCTCTCTCTCCCTCTGCTGCTGCTGCTGCTGCTGCTGCTGCTGCTGCTGGTGCTCCTGCTGCTGCTACTGCTGCTGCTGCTACTGTTGCTGCTGCTGCTGCTGAATTGGTCCAAGCCGGAACTGCGAGGGTTCAGTGGCACGTCCCACGCTTGGGTTCCCTGTCTTGACCTTGAATTTTGGTCTGGTCTGGTCTTGGTCTGAGTTCGTTCTTGATTCGTCCGCCAGCCGTCCTGTGCCCTGCGCGCGGCGTGGGAGCGTGAGCGACGTTGAACGCTGGTGGACTTTGATGCCAGCTCGGGGATTCTCGTCACACCGAATGATTCCGTTATGGACAGCCGCCTGGTGCTGTTGACGGGCCGTGCTGTTCCAAAGGACCACGTGCTGATCTCCCGGCAGCGTCTGCACGCGCAGACGCCCTGCCCGGCCCGCTGGACGGTCGCTGGCTGTTCCAACCTCCAGGCGGCTCTCCAGTTGCAGTCAAGAGCGGCAGTTGTGACGTGTAGGGAGCGAGATGAGATAAATATTTTACACAGAAACACACATACAATAGTAGTCAAACGTGTGAGCTGCGCCCCACCCTAACCCATTGAGTAGCGCGCGCCAGTCGCGTGCAGTAGGATCTCGCGCCTCTCGATAAGTCGAGCATTACCTTTCATGCATCGGTTTTGTCCGGTTAAACCGGTTTTGTCAGCGGTTTTGGCCCCGAGTGTATTCGTTGTTGAACGGTCGTTTTTGTTGAGTCTTATTGAGATGGTTTAGAGGTCTTGCAATGGCGAAGGAGGAACATGCTGCATTAGTGCGTGCTCATCGACCACCAGAAACCACGTCTTGTTGAATCTGCAGGGAGCTGAAAAGAGCAATCCAGAGATATCGCTCCGTCTCCGTGGTTATGCTGATGACAAGTCATAGGTTTATCGTTTTAACACTGGAAAAACAGGAGTCGCCGCAGTGGAAATCTCCTAATCCGCACCGAGGTTGAAAAAGAAAAGGGACAACGTACCGTCCTCAAATGTTTTGTTGTTTGTTAGGCTCGGGCGTCCAAAAACACAAAGTCCACTTTCCACTCATTCCTCATTCATTCATAACTTTCTTTTTTCGTTCTTGGATATCGTGGTTTCCTCTTCCCGAAGTGTACGTGGTTAAACCATTCACCAAAAGCTTAAACTCTCCGCTTGATTTGGGACATATATTTTAGATATTGTTGCCAGCAGCCACATTGCATTTTTTATGAAGGGGCCTATCTTTCTCGGGTCACTTGATATCTTACCTTGAATAAATGATAAATTTCGACGAAGCGCGGTTTCAGTCTGCTGCAAAACGCCTATCTTCCACCGAGTGCCTTGGCGAGTTTTTGGCACTAAAGGTATTGAGAAGGTACTAAAGGTACCTTTGCCAACCCCCGATCCGCTGCTAAGAAAAAAGTTGGATTCGTGCGTCTTATTGGATTCGCCTATATTTTGCGACATTTTCCGCAAAATTACTACCAAATCACGGTGGCATAATTTTTTCGTATTACATTTTCCCTATTCCTTCGTCTAAGTTCATGCGCACATGCTGGTATTTATGTGCCCACTATTGAAGCTTCCTAGTCAAATCGCGATTTTACGAGCTTTTTCCTTTTTTAAGATGATGCAAGCTTAGCACAAATCTATCGAAAGACTGGTCGTGGCGTCGCCTAATGCTCAACGCTTGCCGACGTTGTGTACTATCGGGCTAGTGAGATATTGCTGGCGAGGGGAAGTCGGTTATATCCACTTCATGGTCTATTGAATTCTTATCTACATACTTGATATGAGTCTTCAGTTACTTGTTTTTAGGCATGGGTCCATGTGTTCGTAATTGCTGGCAATAAATATGCTATGAGGCACTACTGAGACGATGTTATCAAGTAAACATCGACTCGCAAACATCAAACATCAAACATCGCCACCTTCCAAGCAAACATCATCGTATAAAAAGAGACATTATGCAAGTTTTGATATGCGAATTAATCATGTCTGCCGACGTGGCTTTTCAAATATTGTTATCACGTCTCTGATCAACACGCTGATGTGGCGCGAGCGAAGACGCCTGCGTGTCCCGGAACTCGGTTTGAGTTGATGGGCACGGTTATCAGACCTATCAATCCCCGCAAACACACATGACATCACTGGGGATACACGGAAAGCGCGAAATCCACGCGATGAGGGTACACAGTCCTGTCGGTCTCGGTGTCAACCTTTGCTTTGTGCTCGCAGCATGGCCTTACCGCCACGTGGCGGCCCACGAGTTCAACTCGAAGTGCATGGTGCAGTGGACTTGACTCAGGTACAAACACTACCACACAGTGCTTTATCTGCAAACGGCGGTCTCTGCACCTTGAAGCTGGTAAGGGGAAGCCGATTAGATCCACTTTATGGTCTTAGGCGGAATTACGGAGCACAGAGCGGCTGCGGATCACAAGACGCGTTAGGTTCGGGCAGAGTTTCCCAACACCACAGTACTGAATATAAGTCCGGACTCTACGTGCAGGAATCTGAGATCAGACAAAGTATCTGGTTTCCAATATGCAACACTACCATCGGCAGCGGCGTGCTGAGTCCAACCGTTTCGATTTACTAAAGGGACAAGCGGACCTCCGTCTGGAAGAGTGCGTGTCACGCACTTCTCTCCGCATTTGTGGCATGAGGACTGTTTTTTTCATTAACCATGAATTGTGTCCAGTTTTGGTCAAGTACCGTTCCGCGCTATATCTTCTATTTCAGTCTACGCCTGACCGCGACCTTCCACCTCAGTCCGCCCCTGACCGCGACCTTCCATCTCAGTCCGCCCCTGACCGAGGCTTTCCACCTCAGTCCACGCCTGACTGCGACCTTCCACGTCAGTCTACGTCTGACTGTGACCCTCCACCTCAGTCCACGTCTGGCCGTGACCTTCCGTCTCATCCTACGCCTGACCGCGACCCTCCATCTCAGTCCACGCCTGACCGTGACCTTCCATCTCAGACCACGCCTGACCGCGACCCCGGCGAGACCTGCCCGGTCAGCCGCACGGCGGACGTCCGCACGGCGGACGCAGCCCAGAGATGTACGGGACGCGCTGCCCTTGGGGTCGGAGCTATTCAGCATGAGGCGCAACCCACCCGCTCATCTAATTCGAACTATTCTTGATGTGTGACATCAAGAATAATTCGACCATATGTGATGACGGTGACGTCCGCTACCTACTTGTGAAGACCTACTGTGATGAACTCAGGCCAAAAGTGAAGGATATGCTCACGAAACCAGGAACCAAAGAAAATAACAGTCATCTGCCCACAGGTGTGCTTCGTAGACTTTGGGCGTCGAGGTCATAGCTCAGTCAACATTTTCCTTCGATTTGGTCTGATGTTTTTGGCCGTTTTGATATAATGCTTTTGACCAGTCCTAGACAAGTTTCTAAAATCGGCAGCTTCTATTTCATCACGATCTGCGCAGCGTTGCCGGTGCACAGATCATTCCACTGTGCTGACCTGTCCGACCTCATTAATCACTTTGCTGCTGTTGCTTCGGCTACCTTGTCTCTGGAGCCCTTATCCTATGCACTTAAGAGACCGTTTGTACTGGTGTTATGTTCTTATTTCATGAAGATCGCAGCCCAGAGATGTAGGGGACGCGTTGCTCTTGGGGTCAGAGCTATTCAGCATGAGGCGCAACCCACCCGCTCATCTAATTCGAGTTATTCTTGATGTGGGACATCACAAATAATTCGACTATAAGTGATGAGGTCAGCCTTTTAGAGTTTAGGAGACCCCAAAAAGTCAGCAGGTACCACTTGCGGAGTGGCACGCAGGGGAGTCAGAAAACAGCGCCAGCTGAGCTTCCGACTTAAGTTTACACGGCCAACTTAAAACCCGTCCCTGCTCCCTCCCCCCCCCCCCCCCCCGCCCCTCCCCAGCTCTAACCAGAAACATGTGGCGTCACCTATGGCCACCTATGAACGTCAATGTAAATAATAAATTAACTCCGATAATAAACAAACCCCGATGATCCATAAGCACGTGAACTACGCCTAGAGCCTGCAAAACTCGTAGGACCCCCTGCATACGCTCGTGTGATTACGTATTTATTATTATTATCATTCAACTACGCAGACGAGCTTGCATCATTCTCATGCAGGTGGTCATAATGTCAACAACCGGTTGGTTTACGGCTCACGAGTCCACAGTCCTTTGGCCCCTACTGTTAACGCCATCCAAGGCAAACATGTCCCGGATTGTCTTCCCCCCTCCCCCTTCTCCCCCGCCACCGCTGTGATAAAACCGCGGGCGAATCACCGGACCGCCCAGTCGGTTTAGTGCTCAACCTGCGAAGGCAGCAGTCGTCCTGTTCTGCGACCGGTCCACCCGGCTGGGCGATGTCACTGGCCTCGGCTGTCTGGCGCTCTGTGACCTCGTCGCTGGCGAGGCCACTCGTTCGAGGCGCGCAGCGCGATATGGGAACTTACCAGGATCTGAGGGTACCGGTGCCTTGGGGGCATATTGCAGGTGTGTGTTGCGGCTGACCATTTCGTGAATTCGTCGAAGCGTCGATTTCGTCGATGCATAACGATGGCGTCCAATCGCTGCACGTTTTTTTAATGCTGATGGACTTCGGATCAAGCTGATATTTTAAGCCCTGTCGGCTTCTCGGACTGAGGTGATACCAGGGGCGCAGCCAGGATTTCCTTAAGGGGAGGGCGCGAAACTGTGGAGTACGCATCACGTCGATGTTTGCCTTTCTGTCGGAAGCCATCTTACATCATCCATCATCTGAAAACGAAACTATGTGCTTGGGGGGGGGGGGGGGGGGCGAGGGCACCTCCTTGGCTTCGCCTCTGGATGATGCCCACAGATAATTATCCAGAACTTCAGAGCTGTTTGTACCTGAGCTTATCGTTACTACCAAGCGTTCATCACTTCTAGCATATATGAGATATGTTCTGAATGTTTTGAAATGAGCTTGAATGGGCATGCCTGGAGCTGCAGCGCTCGTTCTCCTGCGTGACCCGCGCCACTCATCGCCTAAATATGGATTGATGCGCTTGGCAGCGGACAGAAGGCAGTGGGTTCCTGGATGAGTTTGGCAGCGGACAGAAGGCTGTAGGGTCCTGCGCTCACTGTATTGTGTCATTAACATTCTGGCACGGCTGCCATTTACCAAAACTTACTTGGACAGGTCTTGAGGTGTTCGGTAGAGCCATATGGTTAGAATGAATAATGGACTAGGTTTGGCAGAGATTTCGCTGAAGTCGCGGGAGTATGTACGGGTATTGGTAGGGGCTTCAAGGAGTATCTGCCAGGTGCTCCTAGAACTGCCACTTGATTGACTCCTTTTAGGCATGATTACTTCAGTTCACATAAAAGTGGTAACTATGAGAGAGAAATGATGGATTCAATGCTAAAACGTCCCCCATATTTCTTGTTTTATCAATGACGAGAAAACCCAACCCATTTTTACACTACAAAAAGACAAGAAAGAAGAAGGCGGGCTTGGGGGCCATATCGGGCTATTGGAGATATGAGAAACAAAAAGGTGTGCGTGGGAAATGGTCACCACTTTGGAGAAGGTCATGGAGTTAATCAGGACTGTTTTGCAAATAGGTTGGGCCTAGACCTTACGGATAGCGGGTGAAATTGGTGCGATATTAAATCTTACCCGCGAGTAGAATTTTCACCTGTGGACGCTTCTAATCCACTCCCTACAGAAAAACTCGAAAGCTCATTACGAAGTCATCACACGGTGATTTCTCTCCTGGCTGTTTCCAAATTTCCAAAACGCCTCAGGACATCATAAAGAGTAACTTTTCGTAACCCTTCGTGCATGGGGTGGGGTCTGTCCGGAAAAATATGACGTCACTGCTGCTGCTGCACACGTCAAAGTCATGCCGCCAACGATGCTCGCCAGGTCGCGCCAGTGGGCCTGAGGACGGCAGGCCCTTGCTGATGCTGCACGGCCTGATGGACAACTGCGGCTCCTTTGAGGGCATACAGCCTCACCTGCCGTCCGGCTACCGCTGCATCAGCATCGACCTGCCAGGTTAGGGCTGATATTGATCTGCCAGGTGAGGTTCGGCATCGACATGCCAGGTTAGGGTTGACATAGAAGGTCGGCATCGACCTGCCAGGTTTAAGTTGACACTGACCTGTCAGGTTAGGGTCGGCATCGACCTGCCAGGTGAGGTTCAGCATCTACCTGCCAGGTTAGGGTTGACATTGACCCGTCAAGTTAGGGTCGGCATCTACCTGCCAGATTAGGGTTGACATTGACCTGTCAAGTTAGGGTCGGCATCGACCTGCCAGGTGAAGTTCGGCATCGGCCTGCCGGCTGACTGTCGGCAACGACCTGCCGGGCTAGGGTCGACATCAATTTGCCAGATTAGGGTCAACACCAACCTGCCAGGTGAGGGTAAACATCAACCTTACAGGTTAGGGTCAAAATCAACCTGCCCGGTGAGGGTCAGCATGAACCCACCGAGTCAGCGGTTGACACTGAACAGGCATCACCAGGCATCTAATCATCAGGCATCATCAGGCACTAAACAGGCATCATCCGTAAAGCCCAGGAGACTGCCCTAACAGGCCTGATGCTTGTACCTGATGCCTGATGCTGCTGCATGCCTGATGCCTGATACCGGTGCCAGATGCCTGATGCATGATGGCACGAGCCACCATGACCAGATGGTAATCGGCACGCTCTGCAATTCGACCCGTTTGTATTTGGTTGGGGTAGATTTTGCCCCCTTTGGTATTGGATCATTGCACGGACATGGATTTGTCTATGCGTTGCATTGAAACAAGCGGATCAAGCTCCAAAATGCATGGGTCGCGATTGGGTAGAAGCTTGTCATTTATCAACAATGATATATATATATATATATATATATATATATATATATATATGTTTAATGTATGTGTAGATAGACATATCTCAAAGTTTAAGCTGGATTGGCACGGAACTTAATAATGTCATGTATGCTGTATCGGATTGCACAGTGCCGGACTTTGCCTTCGTGGAAACAGCGGATTTGCGTTTCATTAAAACTTGGTAAGTCACATTAAACTCAACTCATTTCCCTGGGTCCATGAGACTTATAGCCTGGAGTGACCTCGCCTTTCACCGGCGACAACATAATCCATCTGAGACCATTTGCCTGTATTAGCTCCTAACCTCGGAGACTCTTTTACAGCTGTGTCGGGTTTCTGGGCGCGCCCATGACCTGCATGTTTCCCATCGCTGGCGACGCGCCTGTCCGCAGGTCACGGCCTCTCCAGTCACCTTCCGGCCGGTGTCATGTACGACTTCTTCAAGGGAGTCACTTACATCGCGCTGGTGCGCCGCTTCTTCGGCTGGGAGCAATTCTCCCTCTTGGGTCACAGTCTTGGAGCTGGGATGGCCCTGCTGTATGCCTCCTGCTTCCCGCTGGAGGTGCGCTCGCTGGCCGTGCTGGACCCCGTCATGCTGACAGTTGACGAGTCCAAGCAGCCTGACGTCACCAGGTCAGAACCAGGTCATCAGGTCAGGTCAGCTACCGGGTCAGGTCACCGGGTTAGTTCAGGAAGGAGCCGAGTCACCGGGTCAGGTCAATCAGGATCCACCTGTACTTCAGATACTTTTTGCACGTGCTCAGCTGACTGTCTGGGTCTCACATGACGGTCTTAAATCCTGTCTTGAATCTCCTTAAATCCTGCCGCAGCCCGATGATGGTGTGAAAGTAGGGAAGGTAGTCTGGGCTCGTGGCTAGGCCGCAAATTCTTTGCCTTCTTTTGTGTTGCGTTCACGACATGCCGTTTCCTAAGTTTCTTTCCAAGCAATAAGGCTGCCTCATTTCATCCAGTTTGGAAACCGTACAGAACACTACATCCCACATTAGAAACGTTTTTAATTAGATCCTTCACGGTGCATCTGTGACCCATCGGTCCATAACCAACTCAAGCTATTACATCGTCCACAAATGACATGACACCCTGGCCCATCTGCCAACAGGGACTGCGTGCTGGCATACACAAAGGTGATGGAAAAACGGCTTCAGACTCCTCCGACAGGAGTGCCCTATGAAGAGCTTCGGCACCGGGTTATGTCGCACGCGCTCATCGCGGATCCCGCGGCTGCTGACACGCTTCTGGTGCGCGGCTGTCGACGCCTCACCTCCGACACCTCTGGGCTCGGGCGCATGACCGCTGACCGGGAACAGACAACCCCTGACCCCGCCCGCAGCGCGGCCGCCGCCGACTCCACAGACGGCTCGACCTTTGACCTGCATGCGGCCGATAGTGTTGCCCCGCAGCCGGCCGCCGCGGGCGCCGGCGGCGAGCGGCTGGGCCCTGACCTCTACTGCCTGACCTCTGACCCCGTGCACCGCATCACCTCGCTGCTGCAGTCCTTGTCGGCCCGCCAGTACGCTGCCTACCTCTCCCGGCTGCAGTGTCGCCTTCTGGTGGTCCTGGCCGACGACGGCGACCGCTGGGGGACACCGCAGGACGAGCGCATCGCTCTGGAAGCCTGCAAGCGTGCGCTGGGGTCGCAGATGACAACCGTTACTGTGCCCGGTACCCATCACGTGCATCTCTGCCACCCGGGCCGGGTGCTGGGGCATGTGGTGAACTTTCTGGACACGTGGGACGGGAAGGAGTGCGCGGATGAGGAGCAGGCGGTTGGAAGCGCTGCGCAGTAAAAGACATCGAGACAGATGCGCGGCAAGCGACTTGACAAATTAACAAGTTCGCGGCCAGCGACATGGAGATAAGCGCGCGCTAAGGGAAAACAGAGGAAAGTGCGCGTTAAGGGACAATGGCAACGAGTTCGCGTTAATAGATATGGAGACATGTTCGCGGCAAGGACATGCCAAGTGAACAAGCTCGCGGTGAGAGACGCGGAGACAAGTGTGCGGCAAGGGACAATGGCAACGAGTTCGCGGTAAGAGATATGGAGACATGTTCGCGGCAAGGACATGACGGGTGAACAAGCTCGCGGTGAGAGACACGGAGACAAGTGTGCGGTAAGAGACATGGAAACAAGCGCGCGGTGGGAGACGTGGCGATCCTCCGAAGCGTGATGAACTGATAATGCACGAGGTAGGCTGAGTATACATGTGCCAGACCGACAGCACTCATGTCAGGGTGTGATAATACACGTGATTGTGTCGCGTTAACATGAAGCGAATTGTGTTCGACATGGCGAGTGGTGCACAACACGTGCAGGTTGACACATTAGTTATTATCAGAAAGCTTGCGTCTCTTGGGTGTGAATGTTCACCGATACAGAAGTTCACCCACCAGCAGACAGGCAATGAGCTGTTCAAATACAGTACAGAGGTGTAGTTTCCTAGTCAGCTGGAGGGCTTCAGCGCCCCCCCCCCCCCCTCTCGACTTTGACCCCAGTCCCCCAAGCATAAGATAAAAGGGGACCAAATCCAGTGAAGACCTGTGCGTTGACGTGTTTTGGAGGCGGGTTACGTCGTTTTCCGCTGCTGAAACCCTCTCTGCCCCCCTTACAACTCATTTTACGAAACTACGCCACTGTTCATGTTAGCCTTTTTAGTGTTAGATGCTTTGTTATCAACGGCTTGGATACTCGTTATCAACGGCTTCTTACAGCCTCACCACATCCTCGCGTTACGGCGTTCTGAATGTTTTCAACACGCAGTCGGTAGCACACCTACATTCTACGACAGCACAGAAACTGGGCGGCAAAGATTCACCCGACCTCCATATATCTCAGCACGCACAGTGTGTCTCAGCTTGCACGGTGTGTCTGGGCTTGCACGATGTGTCTCAGCTTGCACGGTGTATCTCAGCACGCACGAACGCACCACGGCCGCTTTATTCACTTATAAAAACAGACATCAATGACCCTCCACTCAGTGCATCATCTTTTCACGAGAGCTTGAGTATTTGTCAGTACGTAAAAGCAGCCGGTTGACTCGTGTGTTTAAGACATACTACCGATAAGCACAGGGGGCGCATCCAGTGGAGGGGATCGGGGGGCCCGGGCACCGGCCTTAGGTTCAAGATTTTTCGTTTTTCACCAGTGATGTCTCCTTGGCAGGAAATAAAAAAAATCGGCGTGATGTGTACTGACGCAAATCCAGGCCCCTTCCTAAAGGAAATCCTAGCCGCGCCCCTGAATTGACGGCACATCAGCAGGAAGTCCAACAATTAAACCAGTGGGGTCCAGTCCTTCCTCTTAACACCGATAGATGTCAGCACCCTCGGTGTACTCGTCGCTGTTGCTAGCACGGCTCAAGAGCTCTGTGCTACGACTCCCACTTCGTGCTAGCACGAGTAGATGCTAGCGCAGTCGAAGTCCATCAGGCCGTGAAGCATGGCCAGGGTGTAGCCAGAGACGGTGCCTCCGTGGAGCGCGCCCAAGGCTAGTGACAGCGGAATCCTGGAAGCAGGGGAACAGTAAGCGAGTGTCTGCTGTTAAGAGTGATGTTCCACATTTGAAGATATTGAAGCAAGCATCAGTTATGATGAAATAAGCTCATTTATAACTATTGGAACACTTTTGCGTGGGAAAGACTGCTCTAGACAACACAACTTCTCCATTTGGTAAATATGGTCCTCGATACGTTAGTTTTATTGCGGTATTGTACCTTGCACAACATTGATTTAGAGCCACTTGACCTCCGTTATATCTGGAAATCATGCTCACAAACGCCAGATATGAACAACTCGACTTTTTTTCTTAGCCTTAATCACCACGAGGTCAATGGAATGGCAGGATTTGGATGGCGTCATTATGGTGTCACGATGTCTGGGTCGCCCTGAAATCGTCTACACGGAATAGTCTATACATCGTCGCAGGCGCGTCGCCCAGAAATAAGAGCGGTTTAGGTCTTTAGAAGGCCAGGGCGGTGAGCTACACTGGAAGATCTTCAAGACAGCCATTTCATTTGAAAACCGCATACAAATGTGGAACACATCCTTTGCGGTCATTGAGTCCTCACATCACAAACGAGTCACGCATCGTATGGCCGACGTCTGCCCTTTATGCCAGGGCAAGAGGCAGGAGGTGCCAAACATCCTCAGGAACTGGATCCGTCGTAAAACCCACTAATAAGCTGCATCGCTTGGCCCTTGCTAGGTCACTGCGAGATGATAACTGGGCCATCGGTGATCACTATAAGTCCACCGCTGTATCATCGCCACGTTTGTCAGAACCAGACCACGACAGCAGGCCAGCAGAACCGAGAAACTAGCAGAACAAGGCTGTCACATGGGGTAAGACCACGTTGGAAATAATCACAGGGAGGGCTTAAGCCACTGCTTCTTTTGAACACCTTCAGACACCCGATAACACCTCGGACGCATACTGGACCTTTCTGGACACCTCATCAAGCGTATTTTGGGAGATGTAAGTTCAGGCGTGCCCCATCAAGCGCATTTTGTCATCGGCTGGAATTTCCAGACCCACGTACGTGCCGTTTTGATGCACCAGACCAGCGTGTTATTGTGGGTGAATGTATGACCGAGCTGTTCCAATAATCGATTTTCCCGGAACAGCCCTGTTAAGATTTCCGCGGCAGAGATTGAGCCGGAGTGTGGCGTAGGCGTTGGGCAGCCGGCTGTAACTGCTGCATCCCGTCCCGGCTGCATGGAAAATCCCGATGTTTCGACCGCGCTTGAAATCGCGATGTTTTGACAGCGCTTGAAATCGCGATGTTTCGGCAGCGCTTGAAATCGCGATGTTTCGGCAGCGCTTGAAATCGCGATGCTTCGACAGCGCTTGAAATCGCGATGCTTCGACAGCGCTCGAAATCGCAATGTTTCCACGGCGCTTGAAATCCCAATGTTTCGACTGCTCTCGAAATCACGATGTTTCGACAGCGCTTGAAATAGTGATGTTTCGACAGTGCTTGAAATCGCGATGTTTCAATCGCATTTGAGATCCCGATATCCCGGGTGCGTAGAAAATCACGGCGGCATATAGGTTGCCGGTATAGCAGGTACATGTGCCGTCAACTAATCAGACGAAGGGCAGTTATTCAAGAGCTGTTATTTTTTACATGGCCTGTGGGCGCACCAGCTACGAACGAATATGCTTAAGTACGCCAAAAAGCCATAGAGGCCAAGTTTAAGCCCGCAGCTAAGATGATGTCGCGTTTTTTTCAATTTGATCGGAACCCTTTGAATGGATGGATTTCTGGGGTCGGTGCTCAGGCGAAGCAGCGATTGTTGTGTAAGCCCTGACACCCACAATCCGATCGTGCAATTCCATGCAGCGGATTATTTCGTGGCGAAAGTTCAACATGCCGCAATGCTCGGTACCATCCGTCCTGCCCTCTGACGTCAGCTGACCTTTAGCGCGACGGCTGGCATCGACCGCAAGCCATACGTTCAAAGGGCAGTGGCAAATAGCGAGCGCATTAGAGCGACTAGAACCGACCCCGCAACGGATGGGTGGATCGGGGGGCAGGCGCTCTAACCAACTGAGCTGCCGGGACGGACGCGTGGTTCCAAAGCGTAAATAGCCCCTCAGCCCCATAAGTTCAGAGGGTGGGCAGGCAACAGTTCGGGGTTCGTAGGGTTCAGTTCATTTCAGTTCAGGTTCAGTTCGGGGTCGACAGTAAAATATCTCAGCAAGACAAGAATGAGATCTTGGCCTGGATTTAAAGTGGAGTTGACATCTCTGCCCCAGCTGATGCTTGACATTCGTCACTCGTCAATGGTACACGGAATACTTCTACGAGACTAGACGGGGTTAACGCGAAATCTTGACGCAACGGTTCATACGTCAGCATGGCCTGCAGCCAGTGAAACTGGGTAGCGAACAATTGGATAATAGCGGACGGTTTCGGGGTACCGGACATGGTTATCACTGGATATGGGTGATGGTGAACTGCGTGTGAAACTAGAGAGAGGTGATCTATTCTAGTGGTGTAGGTTTGTATAGAAATGATTCACAACGCTGCCCTGGACAGAAATGATGATACCGGTTATAACGGTTCATACCGGCTACAACACCGGTACCAAAACGTACGCCTCGGGCGATCTAAGTCGGAACAGACAACGGCCCGTGGCATAAATCGCACGAACTATTAGTCGCCCTAGCTCAGTCCAGCCAAGCAGTCTTCGTGCAGACTAAGTCCACTCAGACTAAGTCAGATCAAGTCAGAGCTAAGGCTGAGCTAAGGCTGAGCTCAGGTAGCGGCTAATTCTGCCCAGCTCTGGTTCTGGGACTGGTCCAACTTGGCAGGCTTGAAATCAAACGAGGTCAAGTGCCGCGCTAGAACTTGGATTCGTGTAGGACAGGTGGTGCAAAATGTGGCGCAGGTTGAGTGTGGCCAAACAAATTCCGAGGGGTGTTCGTATGGCATGTCGCATACAAACCCTTAACCATTTCAATCTGATTTGACCTACGCACACAACTCGCGCCTTTAATCATATCATGCGTGGAGTTTTCCAGGTGCTTGTATTTAGCAAATTTGAGAGGCGTTTCTGAACTTTAAAATGGTACGTATTGACGTGATGCACACCTATCTCAACGTATTCCAACCTTCCATCACTTGAGTAAAATTCATATCTGCTTACGCCCCATCCGACTTGCACGCCCTCCCTCCCACCCCACCCCGCTCCATCTCCAGCAGTCCCTGAGCTCTCCGGCACGCTGTGGTCTTCTTCTTCGGAAGTCGTCGCTTAACGCGCAGCCGTCCACGCGGCGTCCCCCGATTTGTACTAGCCGTTCTCTGCAGTCACGCTCAACGACCCAACAGGCGTAAGTACCGTGATCATATTTACCTCGTTCATTGGCGCGCGCCGTGATTGTCACTACGCCGCGATTGTCGCCGCGTCGTAATTGTCACTGCGTCGTGATTGTCGCTGGTGGCCTCACTGACGTCATCACTGACGCTCTACCGGCTGACAATTAGGGCGACGGCCGCCATGTGTTTCCGGTTTTCTTTCCAAGCAGCGCCTTGCCAGTGGCGTTCGCAAGATTTCATAATGGGGTTGGCGGCACATTTTACAAATGTTCACTGAAAAACAAATTTAGCACGATGCAGCACGATTCAGCAGATGCGCGAAATAGCTTACGTGATCGTAAGTTCTCAAGTTCTCAAGATCGCAAGTTCTCCATTTTCTCATGATACCTGCCTATCTGGGATGTTGAA